GTCCATCTTTAAAGTGAATTTGGGGAAAAACTAAGGCAGCTAGAAAACTGCGGTTTGTTGCGTAGCATCTACCATATGAATCGGTAAAAAAGTGAAAGTCGATTTTTTCAACCCAAATGCCGACGGCAAATCACCAGCGAATTTGCCAATTGCATACTACATATTTGCATAACTTTCACATTTTAGATTCACAAAATTGTATCTCTCGCATACATATGCATGTACACAATATGTACATATTACATATTTCGACATATGCATGCATTTATTTTAAATAATTAACCAATTTAAAGAACAATAAAAGCGTTGTAAAAACGTAAAAAGCCGTCAGCATTTCATGTCTAAGAAGTAAAATATGCATTTGCTTTGAAGAGACAATTTCTGTTAAAATTCGGTTGTCTCTGGCTGGCCGCTCTTAAAATGCGCTTCGCCAGTTTTGTTGGTATTTGACAGTTTCCACGCTGATTCGTTCTTGGACCTTCTCAATAGGTTCATTCCTTATCTTTTTGGACTAAAATCTGAAAAGTGTCAAAATGCCAGAGCGTAAGCAAAATGCGCTCACTAAAAGAGAATAACAGAAAAAGGAAAGGAACGCAAAAAGCCAAATTTTCAGTCCAAAGAATGGCAACAACAAAGCTAACGTCAAATAAGAATGGAAATGTATGTACAAAACACATTCACACAAGCACAAGCACAATAAACACTTACTATATCAATTATTTTTTGCCTCCTTCCAATTTCAATTTACTTCTTTTACTTTTCAGATTATTCTCACTTTTTGCGTATTCTTTAATTTCCGTTAATTTAAATTTAGTTAAGTTTGACACTTTTCAGGATTTTGCCAGAAAAAATTCTTCTGACTAAATCTGACTACTTCGGACTGATGAGAGTCACTCTCACTGGGTGTTGCTCTCTCATTTTTACTGTCATTTCCGAGTTAAGGAACGCTTTTTGGACTAAATCTGACTACTTCGGACTTTTTCTGACTATTTCTGGGAGATAACGAACGCTCCTAATAAATATACGTTCTCTGGTTTCACTCTACGGAATAACAAATTTATTTTTACCGGCAAGATAAGAAAACCAAAACACTTTAAAGTTAGGAATAATTTATCTGCCCTGCTAGTAAAATCAACTTTACTGCTTACATTAGAAAACGCAAGTTTTAGCGAAAGGGAGGACAGAACTGCAATTTTTGGAGATAACCAAAAAGTTAGAATCCGGCTGCTGGTCGACACAGTTGGCTTTTTGATTTCGAAAAGATCTTCATCATCAAGAAACGCGATGGTTTAGCATCCTTCCCGATTTTCGGTTTGTTTTTATAAATAATTGCAAAAAAATATGCGTTTTTTTCTTCTGAGAGTTTCATGGAACTTTCGCAAATATCATCAGTACCAATCTTTTTTGCAACATGGCTGACAACCGAAGAAAGCTTTTCTTTTTTCGAACATCCGATCAGCCAAACTTCAAACAACTCACCTTTTGTAATAGCATGATAACCTAGAAAAACAGTTGTTCGCGGAAACGGTGGCTTAAGTAAAATAACATCTACCGACTTTATCCATTTCCTTTTCCCTTTTGTTTGCTGAAGGTTAACCAAATTGTAAAAGCTTATATGAAATCATAAATGGGAAAAAAAATCTGAAAATTTTTCAAGTTACGCAAAGATGTCAGTTTTTTGCAAACAAATGATAAAAATTTACAGCAGCTATTTCGGAGATCACCCCACATCTCTTCATCAGAGTTCTTTTTTCTAGACTTCAGCAGGGATCGAACCTGCGTAATCGATGTTCAAAGTCAGAAGCGTTAACCACTGAGCTATGTACATCCCGTAAACTCTTGTTGCTAATTCATTTTCCTTATTCAACCAACTACTATCAAGTGCAGCTGATTTGCCGCTATTTAAACTCGACAGCGTGGTTGTTGTTGTCAATTCTATACATCCATTTGCTTATTTGCTTTTTTGTATAGTTTCAGGCAGGCTCTTCCTAAACTATGTATTTGTCAATGTTATTGTGGCTTATTTTTTTTACATAAATGGGACATAGGCACTCATGTATATTTTTGTCTTCTATTTAAAACGTTCCTTTAATTATTCGAACTTGATAAAAAAATGCACTTTAATCTTGGGAAATAAACCGGTTGCGCAAACAACGTCTCAATGACATTTTGAAAGTGTAACTTTGTTTGATTGTCGTTTAACGGTGTTTTTTATTTTACAAAAACAAAGTGAAGTTTTTGGTATTTTGAAATGAATCATTTGACCTAATGTGCTATGTTATAGAGAATCCTATTACAAAAATTCTAAGGGCCGTTTTCTAATGTAAGCAGTAAAGCTGCGTTTACTAACAAAGCAGATAAATAGTTACTCACTTTAAAGCATTTTCATTTTCTTATCTTACCGGTAAAAAAAAATTGTTATTCCGTAGAGTGAAACTTCACTGCATTTCCGAGTGTGAAACTTCAGCACATTCGTCATAAAATTTCAAAGGTTGGCAATGCAACATAAGCAAATATAGAACAATTTATCGATTCGAGAAATTATTGCGCTGATGAGAAAACGAAAACTCGCATATCGAAACGATAAAGTGGCCGGTAATCTAAAGGTTAGATAAGAAAACGGCCCTAAGCCCACTAATGCCGCTATTGGATATACATATTTTCGATTTTATAAACCTAGTTTTATAGAAAACCCAGAACTTAAAGTTTTCTTATAACACTGTGAGACAAATGGTAAGGGTCAGTGATCGGGAAGGGTTCAAACTACCGGGGAAAGTTATATCGGTAAAAAAGAAGTTATACGTGTCCCGGCGTTTCGCTGGGTCACGTCCAGGAATCGAGATATATATATAACTATCATATAGGGGACATTGTCACC